CTGCTCAAATGACACAGTAAACTGGAACAGCATTCAAGCGAATGCTCAACTTTCGCATAGTCCGTGGCCGTTGATGCCCGCAATCTTGGCGATCTCGTGGCCATTGGGCAGGTCGGCCCGTGTACGGGTAAGCGGAGTTACGGTGGTCGACCTTGTGACACAGGCACACAAGTCGCCTCTTCACTGCTTGGTGAGGGAACTGCGCTGGGAGCTCGGGGCGGCCTTCTTCCTCTTCGCGTCGCTGAACTTGATCGTGTCATGGACATACCTCATATGGCCGTCCGTAACGCTGAGGATGAGCTACCGGCCCATGCTGCCCTTCGTCGTGGGGTCGGCCCGCATATCCCGAGCATCGCACCAGAGCAGGTCCACGGTTCGCTTGGTGCGCGGCTGATCGGCAACCAACCACAGGTGGCCTGCCGTGCTGTTCTCGGGCGGCAGACGCACTGGGGCCACGACCAGGGCGCCGAGGACGGACATGCCGTCGATGACGGGTTCTGCAGGGATCGCGTAACCCCCTTCCTCTCTCAGCCCCCTGATCTCCTTGGCAGAGGCGGGGCCGTGCGCCATCTCGCGCAGCGCGAGGAGGCGCGCCTGCAGTCCGTCGGCTGCGCCACATGCTGCGAGCAGCCCTGAGCCGAACGAGGATCTGCGCGCCGGCTTGTGTGATCGGCCCACTGCGCCCAGCAAGTGGCACGCCTCTTTGCTGGCGCGGCGGCTCGTGCCCAGACGGGTGTCTACGGCTTCTCTCATGCCGTACACTGCATCCTCTCCCTCTTGAACGACCCGACGCTGAGCGCGCTCAGTCGCCTGGCGCACTCCATGGCTGGGAATGCGATGCGTGCCATTATCTTCTGCGTACTGAGTTGAGCTGCATCACGCGTCGGATGAGCAGCTTGTTCTCGGCTCTCTGCAGGGCGACGATGCATGCGGCACCTTGGCATTGGGCGAGCGGGCGTAGGCCGCTGCTCACAGGATGGAGCAAAGAGGTCTGAGAGCTGATCTCCGGCCGGCTCGTCGGCATTGGGCTGGCCAGGTCGACGTGTCTGATCGGCAGTAGAGCGTCGATGAACTTGTTCAGGTCGAGCGTCACGGTGCCATCGGCACTGCGGTGCTGGAACTTTCCGCAATTTGAAATCGTCACAATGAACCTCCATTTTGCCGAAGGCGCTCTCGATGTGGCCGATCAGCTGGCCGACGTGCTCTTGTGTCCAGCGATCTTCAAGTCGTCGACGTGCTTAGACAAAAAGAGCACAAACTCCGAGACGCCGGTGCCAGTCGCCCGACGTCTCGTGCTTGACCTCGAGCTCCAAGCCCCACCTGGTGGGTTTGGCGTTGCGTTCTGGTGAACGCGTGACCCGGGCGAGTTTCGCGGAGAAGGCTCGGCGCGCATCCTCGCAGCCGGTGCCCGGCTTGATGCAGCCAAGCACTCAGTCTGCTCGTTGTAGCTCCCGTAGCCAGGCGCCTGTCGGAGTATGGCGGCGCTGCCGGGTGGCAGGGCGAAGTTCACCTCGCGGGGTGCTTCACTTTGATCCTGCATGTCGGCGTATGTCATGCCTTGCAGGAGCGCCTTCTCGACGTCCACTGCGACGCACACCCGGTCTAGGCGACGCGCCGCCTCTGAGGACAGCGGGCTTTGCGACGCCCGCCTCGCTGTCCCAACGAAAGTCTGCAGGGCTCCAGCGCCCATGTCGCAGAAGTCCCTCAGCGCCATGAGGCGCAAACTGACCCGCACAGTCTTGCCGTCTGATTCTTTCCAGTGCTTTTACTTGAAGACACGTCTGGTGTCCATCGCCTGTCAGGCACCCTTGAGCGGGCGCCTCTCGAGGAATTTGTGCGCGACCCAGATGGTGAGCTCCTCGAGGATGCCGCTGCGACCCACTTCGGCAGCCTCGACACTTCTTCGATGGTCAGAAGGTCCGTGTCGCACTTAAGAAGGAAGAAGAGGAGGAGGAGGAGAAGGAGGAGGAGGGGGAGGAGGAGGAAGAGGAGGGGGAGGAGGAGGAGGGGGCAGGAGCTGGAGGACGAGAAGGGGAGGAAAAGCAGGAGGAGGAGGAGAAGGAGGAGGAGGAGGAGGGGGAGAAGGAGGAGAGAAGAAAGAGGAGGAGGAGGAGGAGGAGGAGGGAGGAGGAGGAGGAGGAGGAGGAGGGGCAGGAGGAGGAGGAGGAGGAGGAGCAGGAGGAGGAGCAGGAGGAGGAGGAGGGCGAGGAACAGGAGGAGGGGGAAGAGGAAGAGGATGAGAAAAATTCGCCGGCCCAACGGGCCAGAAGCGTGCTAAGATCTCCGGTAATTAATTGCTCAACTATATTTCTAGTTCGCGCGCGCGGGGCGGGCCCTGGGGGTCCCTTGACGAGAAGTACCGGCAAGGTCCCGGCAAGGTCCCGGCAGACTCCCGGCAAGGTCCCGGCAGACTCCCGGCAGACTCCCGGCAAGGTCCTTTTTCGGAGCCCAGGAGGGCTCCGAACGGTCCAAGAGAGGCGCGAGAAGCCCTCCAGACGGTCCAAGAGAGCCGGGAGACGCCGAAATATCACTCCCAAACGCCTGCGATGGCCTCAAGACGGCCCAACAGGCCTTCAAGACGCCCCAAGAGGTCCCTAAGCAGCGCCCCAAGAGGGCTCCCACAAGCGAAAATCGTCCCATTCCCTTAGGAAAGCGTGCATTTTTAACGTATCCACCTCTTCGTCTTTCACACCTTTCAAGGCGGTCCAAGAGGCCCCCAAGATCACCCCAAGACGGCCCGAGAGACCCTCAATACCGCTCAAAGACGGCCCAAGAGCGCTCCAAGAAGGCCCAAGAAACCCTCAAGAACTCTTCTTCGGAGCCCAGGAGGGCTCCAAATCGGTCCAAGAGGGGCCCGAGAAGCCCTCCAGACGGTCCAAGAGAGCCGGGAGACGCCGAAATATCACTCCCAAACGCCTACGATGGCCTCAAGACGGCCCAACAGGCCTTCAAGACGCCCCAAGAGGTCCCTAAGAGGTCCCTAAGCGGCGTCCCAAGAGGGCTCCCACTAGCAAAAATCGTCCCATTCCCTTAGGAAAACGTGCATTTTTAACATATCCGCCTCTTCGTCTTTCACACCTTTCAAGGCGGTCCAAGAGGCCCCCAAGATCACCCCAAGACGGCCCGAGAGACCCTCTAGACCGCTCAAAGACGGCCCAAGAGCGCTCCAAGAAGGCCCAAGAAACCCTCAAGAACTCTTCTTCGGAGCCCAGGACGGCTCCAAGTCGGTCCAAGAGGGGCCCGAGAAGCCCTCCAGACGGTCCAAGAAAGCCGGGAGACGTCGAAATATCATCCCCAAGCGCCTACGATGGCCTCAAGACAGCCCAACAGGCCTTCAAGACGCCCCAAGAGGTCCCTAAGCGGCGTCCCAAGAGGGCTCCCACAAGCAAACATCGTCTTATTCCCTTAGGAAAGCGTGCATTTTTAACATATCCGCCTCTTCGTCTTTCACACCTTTCAAGGCGGTCCAAGAGGCCCCCAAGATCACCCCAAGACGGCCCGAGAGACCCTCAAGACCGCTCAAAGACGGCCCAAGAGCGCTCCAAGAAGGCCCAAGAAACCCTCAAGACGGTCCAAGAGGCCCCAAGACGGCCCCATGATTGAGGTCCACAGGGGCAACCTGAACGGAAATTTTGAGCCTCCCGCCCAAACACGCCCCCGAAATGCCCCTACAAGCCCCCAAGTAGCCGCACGAAGCCCCCAAGAGAGCCCCAAGAGGCCCCCAACAGGCCGCAAGAAAGCTCCAAGAGGCCCCCAAGAGACCCCCAGGAAGCTCCCAGGAGGCCCCCAAGAGGCCAGGCAAATCCCCCCCAAGAGACCACCAAGAGGGCCCACCCAGAGCCATCCACGAGGCCTCCCAAAGTTCCCAAGAAGCTCCCACGAAGCTTCCAAGGGCTCCCAAGACCCCCCAAGACCCCGCGATGGCACAATACGGGCCGGCGGAATGAGCGAAACGATTCAATAAGAAGAAGAAGGAGGAGAGGGAGGAGGAGGAGGAGGAGGAGGAGGAGGAGGAGGAGGAGGAGGAGGAGGAGGAGGAGGAGGAGGAGGAGGAGAGAGGAGGAGGAGGAGGAGGAGGAGGAGGAGGAGGAGGAGGAGGAGGAGGAGGAGGAGGAGGAGGAGGAGGACCAGTGTAATCCCAAGAGTCATCAACGATGTTGGAATAAACCCTCCCTCCAAGCTCCCTCTTCATAGGCCCCTACAACGGTTCATGTCCATTTAGGGAACTGCCTCGTTGGAAAACAATAATTTGAAGACCCCGAGACATGCCAGAACATTGTTCTCGAGATTCCGACGCCACGGATTAACCTGACAGTTGCGAAATTCCGATCCTGAATCGTGCCAGAACGCCATTCTTGGGACTTCCACACCGCTAATCAGCGCAGCTGCTGCACCCGCAAAATCCTAAAATCCGTCCAAAACACCAATCCTGGTACTTCGATCATGGGAACCCGTGAAACTCTTGCAATTTGTATAAACGAATGTGGGCGGCGCGCGGCGCTAAGCTGAGAATCGCAGTTAAAAAAAACCGCGCCGCCCTCAATCCGTGATCTAGCAAGTGTTTGAAACAAATGTGCACGTCGCTGAGGCGAGAGTCACATTTTGAAACCCACCTGCCTTCCATATGTGAAACTGTTGCCAACGTTTAGCTTGAAGGGGGAGGAGGGGGAGGAGGAGGAGGAGGAGGAGGAGGAGGAGGGAGGAGGGGGAGGAGGAGGAGGAGGAGGAGGAGGAGGAGGAGGAGGAGGAGGAGGAGGAGGAGGAGGAGGAGGGGGAGGGGGAGGAGGAGGAGGAGGAGGAGGAGGAGGAGGAGGAGGAGGAGGAGGAAGAGGAGGAGGAGGAGGAGGAGGACGAGGAGGAGGAGGAGGAGAAGGAGGAGGAGGGGGAGGAAAGGATGGGGAAGGGGGCAATGTTCGGGCGGACGGCTGGGACTCCTGAAGGGCTCTGGCTGACTCGCGCGCGGCCCTGCTCGCGCGCTCGCGGCCCGATGGGGGGGCTCATTAGTCCCTGGCTGGCGGCTTGATCGCATTGTAGATGCGCATCGCGCTCTGCCGCCTGTCCAGGGAGGGAGAGGGGGAGGAGGAGAAGGACGACGAGGACGGAGGGGATGGGGGGAGGGGGAGAGGGAGACGGAGGGAGGAGGAAGAGGAGAGAGGGAGGCAGGGAGGGAGGGAGGAGAGCAGACTGAGGAGGAGGCCGAGGTGGAGGCGGAGGAAGAGGAGGAGGAGGAGGAGGAGGAGGAGGAGGAGGAGGAGGAGGAGGAGGAGGAGGAGGAGGAGGAGAAGACAGAGAAGGACACGGAGAAAGACGCGTGAGGACGGGCAATACGACGGGGATGAGGATGAGGATGAGGAGGAGAAATAGGAGGAGGAGGAGGAGGAGGAGGAGGAGGAGGAGGAGGAGGAGGAGGAGGAGGAGGAGGAGGGGGAAGAGGAGGAGGAGGCCCAGCGTCGGAATGAGTTCGTCAGCCTCGCCTACGCCTGATTAGCATTCAACGCTCTGGCGACCGAGCGCCACCCTCCCATGGGGGTGTCCGTCGCTATCTGTGCTGCTTTTGCGAAGTCTCGCGCCTGAGCGGCGGACGGAGACCATGCCCATCGACGCCTCCTCACCTGGTGGAGGAGGCGGTGGAGGTGAAAGAGAATGACGAGTTGACGGAGCCGCAGGAGGGAGGGATCCAGGATGGCCAATCGACGGGGAAGGGACGGGTCCACCACGGACCCCGACGCGGAGCGGACAAGGAAGAGGAAGCCAGGGCACCGCACGTAGTGAGAGAGGGAATCTGGGCACGCGCACCCCATCAGACAGGACAAGTCGGGGTTACGCATGCGGGTGTCAGTGACCCAGCCCCCCGTCCACGTCTTGATGGCGGCCAGTCTCCAGGACGGGGGGGAACGCATAAGAAGACCCACCACCCCCTCCCATCACACCGCCCGACAAACGTCCTCCCCGACCCGGAACCACTTCTGGAGGCGCTGTACAATGAGAGGGATGAGCGAGGAGGCATAAGAGAAGAGGACGGGAGCAATGCCCGCCTGGAGGCACTTCTGCGTCTTGATGGGCGGTGCGGGCCTACCTGCCGCCTTTGCCTCTCGCCAGGCCGACTGGCGGGCACGCAAGAGGTCGAGGCCCGCGCGGGCAGGGGGGGCGAGAGAGCCGAGCTCCGCAGAGGCCTCCGCCGCTCGGCGGAGATTCCAAGCCAACGGTGGCTCGATCCAGAAGCTCGGCCACGGTGTGTGCCCGTCCCCCCGTCCGACCCACTGCACAAGCGGAAGGTGTGCCTCCGCTTCCGCTTGGAGCCTCGGGCAGAGCGATCTCCAGACCGTCGTTGTCTCGAGAGCCGTTCGCATTCTGGCCGCGAGGGCGACAGCACGGAGCGGGGGGAGAGAGGGGCCGCCGAAGGACTGGAGATCGAAGAAGCAGCGAAGGGGGAGCCATGAGCCAGGCGCACGGAAGAGACGGGTGAGATAATGTCGCTCATCCGCGACCTCAGTGCTGGGGAGTTCGAAAAGCTGCGCCTTGTACTGCAAGACACTTACAGCTCTCTCTCTCTCTCTCTGTACAGGACTCCACACGCAGCCGCATCCGCGCCCGTGCCTGCGATCGCGCGCGTGCGGTCTTTGTATTTCTGCACAACAGGCGCCCACTGTGCGTGCATCGTAGTTGAGGGGCCAAGAACACATCCCAGGTAGTCTAACTCTGAAACGACCTGGAACTGCTGCCACTCACTCGAGGTTTCCTGCAAAAACTGCTGGGCTTGATTCTGGATGCCTGGCGAGAACGGGGCCCACAGGGGGACGCAAAAGCATTTGCTGGGCCGAAGATGCAAATTCGCAATCTTGCCCGAAACCGAGAAGACGCGTCGCAGCTCTTTGCGACCAGGGGCTCCCCAAGTCACAGCACCGCAATCGTCCGCGCACCATCTGGCGAGCCCCTTTCCCTCATTGTCACCGCGTGAGAGGGCAGAGTCAAGATCACGGACAAAGGGGTCGACTCCTAAGGCGAACATGCTGCCCGAGGGAGGGTCTCCCTGCATCACTCCTCCTCTCACATTATAAAGCGGGACGCGAGCAGAGCATGCACTGAACGTGGTGGCCTGCACGTAAGTGCCCTGCAGCGCCTCGAGGAACCCCGCAGGAGCCTTCCAGGCCTCAAGAGTCCTCCACATCCAGGCATGATCCAAAGACGGAAAAGCTTGGCCGTAATCGAAAGCGAGCAGCATGGGCGACGACGAAGCATGTGGGCAGCCTGCAGGGTCGATCGCTCGCATGCGGGAGGAGGAGGAGGAGGAGGAGGAGGAGGAGGAGGAGGAGGAGGAGGAGGAGGGGGAGGAGTGGAGGAAGCACTGCCGCCTCTCAGTAAAGGGAGAGGGAAAGAAGTCGGGGTACACTTTCATGATGAATGAGAACACCAGCACGTGGCCAGGCGGCGAGATCGGGATGAGCAGGATTATGAGGAAGGGCACGAGGACGAATACGTCCTTCGGGCGCGCAGTGGCGGGGGAGGGGGGCTTGTGGGGAAGGAGCCCTCAAATGGAGCCATTTAGTAGCCCATCAACTGCCATCGTGGGCCCAGGGGCTGCTTGTAATTACGGTGCGCGTTCATTGACCCCTCGTTTACTTCCAGTGCCTGCGGCCGCCCGCGGGCGTACACCCCGCCGACTCTTGGCGGCTCGGGTCTCCTTCCCTCCTCCTCCTCCTCCGCCTCCTCCTCCTCCTCCTCCTCCTCCTCCGCCTCCAACTTCTCCTCCAACTTCTCCTCCGTCTTCTCCTCCGCCTCCTCCTCCTCCTCCTCCTCCTCCTCCGCGACGTGCTGAGTGCCCGGCGCGGCCTGGCAGCTCTGCAGACGCGCTTGCGACCGCCGGCGCTACCGACAAAACACTCACCCACGTGGACGGGCGCCCGAATCCTTCGCAGGACGCCGTCTATCCGGCACGCCAATCCTGGCGGGGCAGGTCCTGGAGCCACGATCGCGCAGACGCCGCACCTCGGCGAATCCAAGGGGGGGGCGCATTAACAACGCGCCTGAACCCGGGACGGGCCTGGCCAGGATCGGCGCACGCGGATGTTTGTCCAGGGAGGGAGGGAGGGAGCGAAAAGCAGGAAAGGGGGAGGGGGAGAGGGGGGGGAGGACAAGCTAGGTGCGCTCACGTCATATCTGACATCCGACCCCTCCCTCCCATCCCTTACCATGGCGTAGATCCCCTCTCTACTCGCACAGTCGGATGTCGAGCAGGGCAATGATCCCGAAAGGGTACGCGATGCATTGTAGAGCACGGCATGGCATGGCGTAGAAGAGCACCGCAAAGCGTAGTATGTCACAGCATGGCGTGGCGTGGCGTAGTGAAGAATTGCATCACAAAGCTTTGCAACGCAAAGCATGGCATCGCACAGCGGCCCCGAACATAACATTGCATAGCATGGCGTTGAAGATCAAAGCGTAGCATGGCATAGCACGACGTGGCACTTAAGCACTGCATATCACAGCTTCAGCTGAAGGCATGGCATCGCGCAGCGGAACGCAACCTAGCATTGCATTGCATGCCGTGGCATGGCACGGGAAATGACGCCAGCGCTGCAGCGGGAGTACGATTCGGAACGAGCGGAAGCGCGGAAATGAGGCCAGTGCTGCAGCGGGAGCACGATTCGGAACGAGCGGAAGCACGGAAATGAGGCCAGCTCTGCAGCGGGAGCACGATTCGGAACGAGCGGGGCCCGAAAATGAGGCCGGCGCCTCAGCGAGAGCAGCATTGTGAAACAAAATGCAAGCGAAAACCCAACTCTGGGGAATCCTGTGTGTAAAAAACATACGCGGGGGGGGGGGGGGCGAACACTCCCAACCCGTCATCAGGGGAAGGATGAGAGTAGTATTCATATTGAGTAGTTGTGGAGGAGGAGGAGGAGCAGGAGGAGGAGGAGAGGAGGAGGAGGAGGAAGAGGAAGATGAGGAGGAGGAGGAGGAGGAGGAGGAGGAGGAGGAGGAGGAGGAGGAGGAGGAGGAGGAGGAGGGGGGGGAGGAGGAAGAGGAGGAGGAGGGAGGAGGAGGAGGAGGAGCAGGAGGAGGAGGAGGAGGAGCAGGAGGAGGAGGAGGAGGAGGAGGAGAGGAGAGGAGGAGTAGGAGGAGGAGGAGGAGAAGAAAGAGGAGGAGGGGGAGGAGGAGGAGGAGGAGGAGGAAGAGGAGGCGGAGGAGGAGGACGGAGGAGGAGGAGGCGGGAGAGGAGGAGGAGGAGGAGAGGAGGAGGAGGAGGGAAACAGGATTGAGGAGGAGGAGGAGGAGGAGGAGGAGGAGGAGGAGGAGGAGGAGGAGGAGGAGGAGGGGTAGGGGTAGGACGAGGAGGAGGAGGAGGAGAGGAGGAGGAGGAGGAGGGGAGGAGGAGAGGAGGAGGAGTAGGAGGAGGAGGAGGAGGAGGAGAGGAGGGGGAGGGGAGCAGGAGGAGGAGGAGGAGGAGGAGGAGGAGGAGGACGGAGGAGGACGAGGAGGAGCAGGAGGAGGAGGAGGAGGGGCAGGAAGAGGAGGAGGAGGAGGAGGAGGAGGAGGAGGAGGAGGAGGAGGAGGGAGCAGGAGGAGGAGGAGGAGGAGGAGGAGGAGGAGGAGTCCCTCAACCTTCGCGAATGGACCGTCGGCATCCCCCGGGTCCTTGACCGCCCTGTAGCACAGCTTCGCCTCGCGCGGCTCCAGGGTGTACTTCAGGAAGACCACCTTGAGGGCCAGCTTCGCCGCCTGCTGGAGGTCCTCGGAAACGCAGAAAGATACCGATGGCGCCAGGGCGTCGCTCAGTTGGGGGGCGATAGCTGGGAGGGAAAACAAGGGGGCGAACCTCGAAGATCGATGTTCAAGGCTGTCTGGCCTTCGGGGGACGACCTCCTCGTCGCCACGGCTGGACGCAGCTCGACGACGACGACGACGACGACGACGACGACGACGACGGCATGGAGGGGGGGGCGATAAGTGGGGGGGGAGACAGGTGCACTTTTTGGGCCCTAGAAACCTCCTTTGGGGCTCCAAAATGGCCCCTCTAGGGGCCCTGAAGGGTCCCTTTTTCTGCAGCCCTCGCTGTCCCCCCATGTATCGCCCTCCCATTACGCGACGCCCAAGACGCCACTCCCTGGGCCTCTCTGGGGGCGTGTTCTGACGATACGGGAAAAACAACTGCATAAAGATTAACTTTCGGAGGTCCGCGCTAGACCCCCCTCCCGCGCGCAGCCGGAGGCGCCGCCAAGGGGTCCGAGCGCCGATCCAAGAAATCCGCGCGGAGCTCCAGAAGTTCGATTATGTTCATGCTGTTGTTTTTCTTCGAAGCCAAGCTTTAGAGGCGAATCCAGCGGCGGCGGCGAGGGAGGGGTCGCAGTGTCGGCATCTTTTCTCCTCTGCGTCCTGGCAGAGCAGCCCGACGCCGCGGGCGCAGAAGCTCGCGGCGCGGCGGGCCTTCGGGAGGCCCCCGGTGAACGAGGACCACTGGTGCGCCAGTGGCCTGAAGAGGCCCCGCTGATGGCCCACGATGTTCGCCCTGATGCCGAGGCGGCGGGCGAACCTCGCGACGTGCGCCTCGACCATGCGCAGCTCGTCCTGGTCCAGCCCGCACGCAGCCGCGGCCTCGACGTCCAGGTCGGAGAGCCGCTGGGAGCGCACTGCCTATTGGAGGGCGCCGCCACCTGTACACCTGCATCGATCCTGGCCGGGCTATCCACTGGGCCAAGGATCGGTGTGCACGTCCTCCTAGCTAAGCCCCAGGATGGCACACACACACACACACACACACCACACACACACACACTGATCCTGGCCAGGCCCGTTCTGGGCCCAAGGTCAGTGTATACGCTCTCCTGGCTTCGCCAGGATGACACTTGCAAGGATCCTGGGCCAGGGGTGGGCCTGGCCAGGATTGGTGCAGGTGTACAAATGGTGACCTCCGAGCCCAGCCGCCTTTTCTGCTGGCGCCCCCTGGCGCTGGAAGCGCCTATGTATCGAGGAAAGCGCCCGGCGGTGGGGCGGAAGGCGGCTGCATGCAGCAGATTTCGCACGCCCCCCCTTTGCCCAATTCCCATCTCTCCTTTCGGCCGGTCCGAGCCTGGGCAAGGCCGAAACCAACTGCATATAGCAGATTTCGTACCCCGCCTCTTTCCCGATCCCTCCCTTTTCGGCCGACCCGAGCCTGGTCCAGCATGGCCAGCTCGAAGACCTGGGCCTTGAGCTCACGGCCCACGTCGTCCCAGTCCGCAATTGCGGCGCGCTCCAGCCTGGACTCCAGCGCAGTGGCGGCCTGCTCGAATAGGAGCTCGATGTTCGCCTCTGCTGTGGAGAAAAAGCAAGGAGGACGGAAACGATAACCAGACCAAGGAGGAGGAGGGGACGACCTGGCCTCAGTCAGGGTCTCCCCTCGAGTCTCGAGGGTGGAATCACCAAAAGGCCATGGAGAGATCCTCCCTCTTCAGTCTGGTCAAAAGTTCTCTGCCCCCCTAAGAGAGGGGCCCTGAAGGAATCGGGCCCTGGAGCCGGGTCTTTCCCGGGTCAAGCCCCTCACACCGAGAGCCGTTTGACGACCCCGGAAAGGCACCGAGAGGCCGAAAAAGGCTGATAAAACATGAGAAAACGGCTTGCGGCTTAGTATCGTTCGACCGAGCCTTGGGCCCATTGGCCGATTTACAGCTGACTTGCAGATGGAGATATTATGCTGTTCCCTTCGGGTTTCGCGGGGCCTGCCCCCACCTGGGGCTGGTGAGGCTGAGCTACCATGGTCCACTGGGGATGGAAATCGGTTGAACGATGCTGATTGATGTCGACCGCCTGTAGCACCAGCGTCCCCCAGCCTCTGATCTCCCTGTCGGCGCTGGACAGCTGCTCGGTGAGCCTTGCGTAGCTCTCGGGGTCCAGCGACACCACCCCCGACTTGGGCTCGCGGATGGCGCCGATCACGCTCTCGCGGCGGGCCCTGGCGAGCTCCAGACCGTTTGTGGCGTTCGTCATGGCTGTCTGCCGACGGCTCACCCGCTCCTGGAGCGCCTTCGAGAGCGGCGGCGTGCGCGAACCTGGGAGGCCTAAAGCTGCAGGAGCAGAGACTGACGGAGGCCCTCGCGGATGTCTCGGGTCGGCGCCGGGTCCCCCTCCCACAACCCCTAGCGGCGCCTCTCGCGCCGCTAGCGCCAGGGAGGAGGAGGAGGAGGAGGAGGAGGAGGAGGAGGAGGAGGAGGAGGAGGAGGAGGAGGAGGAGGAGGAGGAGGAGGAGGAGGAGGAGGAGGAGGAGGAGGAGGAGGAGGAGGAGGAGAGGAGGAGGAGGAGGTGTGGGGAGGGGGGGGGGCCTGCGCCTCGCGGTCCTTCGGTAATGCTTCGGCTTGCGCACAGGCAGCCTCCCCAGGTAGTCCCAACTGGCATCGACAAGCCCCCCGAGCAGTCCCAGCTGGCCTCAACAGGCCCCCCCCCCGAGTAGTCCAGGGCACGGCTTCGACACCTCAACTCTTGGGCGTGGAACGCCCCAGGATGCCCCAGGGGCGCCGCCGGGGGCGGCGCCACGGTGTTGAGACCGCCCTGGATTAGTCGGGGGGCCTCTGGAGGCCAGTTGGGACCACCTGGGGGGGCTGTCTGTGCGCAACCCGAAGCCTTACCAGGGTCCTTGCCTTTGTTCTTCAGCCATCGGGCAGAACTTCCGGGCTTTCGTTGTTCGAGGGCGGCGAGAAGGTCTGGTTCAAGAAGGGTGATTTCGACGGCTGCTGGGGCGCCTCGGGTCGTGCTGGAGTGCCCAAGGTCGGGCTGGGGGGACCTCGAGTCCAGCGACACCAACCTTGTCCAACGAACCCTCCTGGCAGCCTCCGAGTGGTGCGCCTCGCCGCGCCTCGATGGGCACCCCGTGCACCGGCTGGGGGTCCCAAAAGCGCGGCCGGTGCCGGGCCGTGGGCTCCCCGTGGGCGCCCCGTGCTCTGGCTGGGGTTTCCGATGGCTTCTGGGTCTTCGCCTGCCCTGCACCGCGCAGGCTGCGTCACCCGTGACTGCGCGCCTCGCGCGCCGCGATGCGCGACGCGCGAGTATCTTCGCGCCCGCGCGCCCGCGCGCTGGCCCCTTAGAGAAGGGCAGCCGCTCTGGCCCAGGCCGCGACGCGTAAAGCGCGATTATCTTCGCGCCCCCGCGGGCGGCCCAGGTCTCTGGGTCTTCGCCCGGCTTGCACCACACAGACTGCGCCATATGGTACGCATTACATAGACCGAATCACGCTGCTTGCACCACACAGATTCTCCTTTCTAAATTAGCCTGGCGAAGGACCCAACCATATGCAGTTGTGAGTACCGCAATTGTGGATATCTTCTTCGGTGGCGCTCCCTATGGGGCCACGAACCGTATGAAGGTGTGCCGACTTGTGCGGCGTAGCCTCTGCAGGGGGGCTTCCCTGGGAACCTCGACGGCAGCGCCCGCGCGCCGCGACGCCCATGTCGGCGCGCCCCACGCGAGGATCGCGCCCGCTTCCTCTCCTCCTTTTTCCATGTCCTTTGCCCGCGCACTCCAAAGTCCAAGGCTGCGGGCGCAGCGCCACGCGGAGCCCTCGCGACTCGCACAGGTCGCCCCGAGGGGGTCGCAGTGACGCGCGCGGTTCGTCCGCTGAGCGGAACAGAGATTGCTTGCTGGCTAACTCATAGCGCGCATGGCTCTGGCCGCCGGGCGGAGCGACGACGGGCGAGCGAGGCGCTGGACAGAGCGCAGCGCGGAGTTCGGGCGACGCGCGCTGATCGCCCCGAGAGGGCCCCAGCGACGCGCGCGGAGCGTCGGCGGCGCCAGGCCGAACAGCCGGACAGCCAAGAGAAGAAGCGGTTGGGGCGGGCCGCTCCTCAGGTCAGGCCTCGCGGATAAACTCAGTGAAGCCGAGGTCCTTGGCGAGGGCCGTGGCCTCCCTCCTGCACCGCTTCGTGCGCGCCGCAAACTGCTCCAGCTGCTTCCGCAAGCCCGCCGGCGGCCCGGCCAGGAAGAACTCGATGCGCGGCGCCCGCTTGAGCAGGAGGTCCTCGTGTCGCGTGGCGCGCGAGAGCAGCGCGTAGAGCTCCAGCCACCAGTCGTCGTCCTCCTTCTTGCCGTTCCCGACCTCGTGGCGGCCGCAGTCCAGGATCACGCCTGGGCGACGTCGGCCGAGGGAGCGGTGCGCCCGGCAGCCGACGGCCCAGGGCGGCGAGAGTCCACAGGACCGAGGTCTGGCTGCGGACTGCACGCGCCCCGGAGGTCTCGCTGTCCCCGGAGCGCCGTTCCCCCGCCCCGTCGCCTTCTCGCATGGTGCGCCCCTGGCACGCCACCGTGGTGATGACCCTGCCGTGCGAGAACGGGGAGCCCGTCCGGGTGACCTTGGAGGTGCGGAAGGTGAACGCCTCCGACGTGCGGGGCTCGATGAACACCAGCGGGCCCGCGAGGTCCCTCGCGAGGCTGTCGTCGTGGCGCTTCAGGTCGTCCACGAAGGGCGCGCTCGCGTACTTCTCCATGCGCACCCAGAACCCCAGCGGCAAGCGCTTCAGGTAGATTCTCTTCTCCCCGTCTCTCTCTGCTCTCTCGACGTCGCCCCGATCCCGAGGGTCCACGACGATGTGCACGATCTGCCCCTCGGCGTCCTTGACGAGGCCGTTCTTGAGGTCGAGCGCCTCCAGGGGCCGGATCCGCATACCCACGTGCGCCGGGAGCAGTCCGTGCATGCCACCGGTATTCTTCGGGTTGGCACAGTTCATCATCTTGGCGGCGTCCTTGACGCTCATCGTCGGTGCAGACCTGTCGGCGGCCTGCACGAGGAACAGGGGCTTCTTCAGGACGTCCGCGTCCCGCTGAGCACGCATGTTCATCCAGCGCGCCACGGTGTCCCAGTAGGACCCGATCATGTGGCCGTTCTGGAACCTCTCCTCCCTGAGCCGGCGATCATCGGGTTTCAGCTGCATGGCGTTCCACGTGGCCCGGATGGCCGGAGGGACCTGCTTCCCCGGCTTGCGCAGGAACGCCATGAGGTCCCTGAGTTTCGGGTCCTTGAAGCGGTTGGACGCCTGGAGCTCGAAGCACAGCGGCGTGTTGCAGAAGAGCTTCATCACTGCCTGGTACTCTGGAGCGAGGTTGATGCCCGCCGCCGCCAGCTCCTCGAAGCTGGAGATGAGCGACACCTTGCCTCCCGTCGGCTTCAGCTGCAGGAAGTCCCCCAGGTGGATCACGATGGGCATCCGTCCGAAGGCGCCGCCGACCTGGTCGTACTCCCGCTCCTCCGCGCCCCACTCGGCCTTGCGTCCCAGGTAGGACCGGAACGCCAGCATGTTGTACAGGTTGGGCGAGATCATGCTCACCTCCTCCAGGATCAAGCACCTGACCGCCTCCCACGTGTCCTGCAGCGCTTTCAGCCTGCCCCCCGCGGGTATGTCCTTGTTCCTGAAGGACTGCACTCCGATGACTCCCGCCCGGTGGCAACTGACGGCCTTGTGAGCGTCCGTGGAGATGTTCGCGGCCTGGGACCACTTCGCGCAGACTATCAGCGTGGACTTCGCCTTGCCCGTTTCCACAGGGAACAGCGCGTCCATGGCCGGCAGCACGATCTCCTGCACCATGGCTGTCTTCCCGCTGCCGCCCTGGCCGAGGAGCAGGAACTGGAACGTCTTCCGCTTCGCGTGCTTGGCCATGCTGCCGTCCTCGATCTTCTGCTCCTCGTCCCACGCCACGTTGCAGGCGTTCGCGAACGCCGCGACGAACAGGGCCTGGTCGGGCTTCAGAGGGCGGCGCTCCTGCTTCCCCGTGCTCGGGTTGACCACGCCGTCCTCGAACTTTTTGACGAGGCGCTTGACGAGGTCGCTGGGCCGCTGCAACTCCTCCGACGGCTCCCACCGCGCCTGCGCCGCCTCGGCCGGCATCGCGCCAGCACCCGCTGCCCCGACGTCGTCCGGCTCGGGGGCGTCGTCCGCGGGCACGTCCGCGTCCTTCGTGCCCCCCTTGGCGAACCTCTTTCGCTGGGTCTCCAGCAGGTCCTTCAGCTCTTCTGCGTCGAGGTCGCGCAAAGCCCTGAACGGAGCGAGGACGTCTTCCTTCAGGGCGCGGGCAGCACGCCGCGGCGCGTCGGCGTCAGTCGGCCCGGGTAGCGCGCCGTTCTCCATCATCGTGGCGGCCTTCTTGAGCTCCTTCACGAATGCCTGCGTGCGCTCGGCGGTGTCGAAGCGCAAGATCTGCCCGAGCGTCTCGGGGTCGAAGTGCTGCTCTAGGACAACGTTGGCGCCCAGCTTCGCGAAGCCGTCCTGAGCGCGGATGCCCTGGGCCTCCACCTGCGCGGCGCCCGCCCCCGAATCCTCGGCGCCCTCCCGGAACACGGGGGCCTCCGCGACCTGCACGTCGTCCTTCTGCGGCCTCTTCGGCTTCGAAGCCTTCGCCTTGGAGATGCCGTCGAAGTTGGCCGCGGTCTTCGTGGTCTCCAGGGCCAGGTACTCCTGCACCGTCAGCATGCTGCCCAGCCAGTTGCCCAGCTCCGCGCACTGGGCGCACTGGCACGGAGGCTGCACGTCCTCGCGGCGGTCGCTGCGCTTCTCGCGCAGCGCGGACTCGACTTCCTCCGTGTTCCAGATGCTGGGCGTCGCCCACGACCCGACGTCATTCCTGAGGCACTTCGCCCGGGCCGTCTTCGCCAGTTGCTCCTGGGCGGTGGCGAACGACTCCCAGCCGCGCTGGAACGGGCCCGCCACGCCCTCCCCCGCCGGCTGCGCCGGCCACTCCGGCTCGCCCTCCGGCGCCGCGCACAGGTGCTCGTACGCGCGGAGGTAGCGCAGCTCCTTCGTGTCGTTGGGGCCGTCGGCGTCCGGCAGGTGCACTGGCCGGAGCAGCACCGACTTCATGAGGTAGTGCGTCTCCACGTTCGACTCCGCGCTCACGAACTGGAAGCCTTCGGCCTTCGGGATGCGCGGCTCGACGGCCAGCCTCTGCGTCCAGTTCCGCGCCGCCGAGTAGGAGGAGTCGAAGGCGATGTCGACGTGCAGGGTGCGACCCCCGCTGCCCTCGGGATCCAGCTCCCCGGACGGAAGGGCATGCAGCGGCAGTTCCACGCGGTACACCCAGATGCTGTAGACGTACAAGCTCATGTCTCGGACAATAGGGTGGTCTCCGCGGTGCATCCAGTCGTCGTGCTGGCTCAGCACTGCGCCCCTGAACTTGCCCTGCGCGAGGCCCTCGACAGTCGGCCCCGGTGCCTCGGGCACCTCTTCGGCCTCGCCTTCCCGCAACTTGTTCAGCGCCTTCGTCACGTCGCGCAGCGAGCTGCCGCTGGCGCTCGCGATCTGGAACGCCTGGTGCGCGTACTCGATCGTGTCGAACTCCTCGCCGTCGGGGCTGACGTACACCGTCTCGCCCTCGCGCTGCACCTCGCGCCACCCTGGCATCGCGACCTGCTGTCCAGTGCCGGGGACCGCGTACGTGATCGAGGCGGCGGGTGCGCTTTCCGCGGTGTCGGCCTGGCCGTACCGCCTGCGCCAGGACTCCGCGGCGAGGTAGATGGATTTCCGCATGAACACCTTCCAGCAACGGTGCGTCATGAAGGAGAGGTGCCCGAAGAGCATGGGGAAGACCATCTCGCTGCCGCTCTTCCAGGAGGCCCTGCGGAAGCAGGTCTCGAAGCGGGCCAGCACCTGCAGCGTGCGCTTGAAATCCTCCTTGCGCTTTCCTGCGGCTGTCGACTGGGCCTCGTCGCCGGCGTCGCCCGCGGCCTGCGCCTCCTTGTCGTCCCACTGGCTCTTCAGGCGGCGCACGCCGTCAAGGAGCTTGCAAAGCACGTCGTCCATGCTGGGGTTCACCTTCGTGGTGTACGAGTTGACGTAGTAGCTCGTGTTGTGGGCGCCCACGAAGGTGGCCAGCGCGTGCCGCTCCAGGTCGCGCTGGAGATCGGCGCGCGCAGCGTCGCCACTGTCCACGGCGGGGCTGTCGCGGTTCGCGAGTGTCCTGTAGATCCCGTGCCAGTCGGTGACTACGACGAGGTCCCACTTCTCCGCGGGCGTGGTGTTCAGATGCTGGAACCATCCCCAGTCCTCCCGGGCGCCCACCGAGAAGTCGGCGTAGCGCTGAGGGTAGAGGCCATGGTTGTAGCTCTTGCGGTCCTCCTCGTTCGCCGGCGGTTCCAGCTCCGACGCATCCATCCACAGGCGCGGGGGCAGCGCCCGTCTCATGTCCTGCACGCCCACGTTGCACCGCGCCGCGACGAGTGCCGCGTACTTCGTGGAGGTCTCCCCGGGGTGGAGCTGGAAGGTGACGATGCGTCCGGCCATGCCGTAGTCCGTCTCCCGGAATATGCCGATGCAGCCGCGCAGCGCCTTCCCGCGCGTGCGGAGTCGGCACTCTCGGGAGTCCTCACCCTCGGTCCACGTGCACAATGTCACCAGGTTGTAGAAGTTGTGGCGGCAGATCTGCGAGCCGCGCGTCCTGTCGGAATGGTACTTGTACTTGTAGCAAGAGGGGCTGCAGACGTGGATGCCGCAGCCGATGACGAGCTCGCGCACGTCGCGGCACATCTCGCGAATCCACTCCTCGCTCGGGAGAGACTTCGCCAGGGTGCCCCCGCCGCGGTACCTCGGGAAGATGCCGGAGGCGCTGCTGGAGAGCGGCCGCCGCCAGTACCCCTTGTTCTCCGCGGCCCTCTGCTCTGTTCACGCCGCAACGTCGTCCACGATCTCGCCGCCGTTGTTGCGCAGCGGCAGATCGGGGCGAATCGCCCTGTGGTAGTCGTCTACCTTGGGCTCGTAGAACCACAGCTCCTGCGGCTCCGTCTCGCCTCCGTCCCCGAGCTGCTCTGCAGTCGCCATCTCCGCGCCCCCGTCGGCCCGGAAGTGCCGCTTCTCGTTGGGCCCGAACGGCAGCGGCGGCACCGTGACCCCGCACTTGTTCTCGCCCCCCTGCAGCTGCAGGGGCAGCAGCTCCACGGCGCTCTGCTGAGTGGCGACCACGGCCTGCACCACCTGCCGCATCCACAGGTTCAAGCGCTCCTGGAAGCGCGCCTCGTCGCGCTGCAGCATGTCCAAGAGCACGAGCAGCTGACCCTGCAGCAGCCAGATGAGGATGTGAGGGTGCAGCGAGCCGCGGCCCTGAGCCTCGACCGGGCCGAAGGCCGCCGCGAGGGGGCCGAACACCGTGGGCACACCCATGAGGTCGGCCGCCACGCCGTCGGATATCCAGTGCTCCGAAGCCTTTCGGACTTCTCCTCGCCGCCACCCGACGGTCTCCGGGCGCAGGCCGAGGACGTGGACGAAGAACAGCCTCATCATCAGCTCGAACACCACGGCCTGGCCCACGGGGTCCGCGGTGATGCGCTGCGACATCTCGCTGAACGTGACTTGCTCCGCCTCGGTCAGGTCGTTGTCGAAGGTGTACTCCTCCCCCTGCACGATCAGGATCAGGGGCTGTTTGGTGTCTGCCAGATTCGGGGTGACGAACTGGACGGGCGGGCCGAAGCGCAGGGTATGCGCCTCGCCCTCTCCGCGCAGCTCCCGCCTGTGTCCGTCGGACCCGACTTGGCCGGCAGTGGCCTGGCCCAGGGTGGCGAAGGCCTTGCGCACCTCGTTCGGGGTGTCCTTGTCCTTGAGGATGCCGTGCAGCGTGGCCTTCCCGCCCGTCTGCTGCGCCCTGAGCTGCACCTCCTCGATCATCTCTGGCGTGATGTCCGCGCAGGCGCGAGCGGCCCCGAACGCCCCGGGCGTCTTCATGAAGGTGTAGGTGCTGTTGGTCGTCTCCCGGAGACGACCAACAGCACCTACACCGAGACTCTCCGTGACTCTCCAGAAGGAGCACAGCAGGTGCACGTCGTACCAGCAGCTCCGGAAACGACTGATGGGCCTGGCCACGTACTTCTCCTCGTCCGAAGGCACATCGTACTCCATCTCCTCCCGCGTGAGAAGATTATTGATGAAGTGCGCCACGCTGAAGCAGAGCCGAGCCTCCTTCTGCCTCTGCGGGTCCTCATCTCCGTCTGGGGGGAGCTGGCCGAGGCCCCAGGCGCAGTCCCCGTAGCAGAAGTCCGTGGGCCTGGCAATCGACCAGTACTTCGGATTCCACCAGCTCTCCGCCTTCCTCGAAGTGGGCACCCGAAGCCTCGCCTTCCGCTGGCCGTCTGGGCCGGGCGGTCCCTGCAAGGAGCGCGGATCGTCCTCGGCGGGAGTCCCCGCGACTCCTGCAGATCGCGCCAAGTCGCCCGCGCCCTCCTCCGCCTGACAGTTGTTGGTCTCCAGCGCCTGGACGCGCCAGTGCAGCTTCGCCATGTCCTCCCCCGGGGAGATCTTCCGACAGCGCGCGTGGAACTCCTGGCAGAGGTCCCGCAGGCGGCAACGCCCGATCTCGTCCAGCTGCAGCGCCCTATCATCGCCTCCCTGGTCCTCGAGTCTGGACATCAGCTCGTTGGCCACCACGCGACCCGCCTGACTCTCCATCCTCTCGAGCATGCCCTGGAGCGCCGGCAGGGACGTGAGCTCGCTGACGTCGTCCATGTGGTCCTCGAGGACGGACAGCCACTTGGTCAGCTCCTGCGCGTCCTCGGCGGCCGCGCTCATCTCTGCCTGCGCACCCGTGGTGGCCGACGCGGGACCCTGCGCCTGCGCGACGTCGTCCAGCGCCGCGTCCGTGGGGACATACTTCGCGCAGGCCAGCATGAAGTCGGGCACGCCCGGCTGCGGGGGGAACCGGTCCACGAGGTCCGATCGGTACTGCACGCCCGGGTCATTGTACACGTAGTTGTGCTGCTTCAACAACCGCGCCTGGGCGTCGTACTCCGCCTTGTCGACGTGCAGCGCCACCTCCTCCCTCATGGCTCTCAAGGCCCTCTCCTGCTTCTGCTCCTCGGTCAGGGGGGCGCCCTCCTCGTCGTCGTCGGCGCCCGCGAAGACGGCCACGAACGTGTCCCTGAGCATGTCGGGCTCCGGCGGGAAGCTCCGTATCGCGTGGTCCACGTTCCCGTTCCCGAACACGATGGCGGTGCCCTGCATGGCGTACTGCAAGAACTTCTGCCTCCACGACTGCTGCTCCTGCCGGACGGCCTTGTCGGCGCCCTTGCTGGACAGGTAGATCTTCGTGGACACGACGCGGCCGAGCGCGAGCAGCAACTGGTGCGCGAGAGCGGCCTTCCTGAGCAGCGGGTGGTGGCGGCCCAGCCAGAGGTCGTTCACCAGCGCCATGAGCGGCACCTTGGGGTGATCAGACCACAGGACTTTCCGGCAATCGTCGCAGACTTTCACCGGCACCTTCCCTTCGAGCGCCTCGGGCGGCACGCGCCTCTTGTGCAAGAGTATCTTCGTGGACGTCGGCGAGCCCTCGCAGTCGTCGTGGGGAAAGTTCACGGCCGACGACATCAGCTCGTCGCGCGGTATGAGGGGCCATCGTTGGTGATACCACTCGGCCGACAGGCAGTCCGCGAACTGGGCCCGGTCCTTTATGGTGCACTTGTCGCCGACCAGGTACTCCGAGTGGAGGTTCTCGGACCACTGCTGCATGGCGCAGCAGACGCAGGCCTGGAAAGCGCGGGGCTCCCTCGCCTGGCACGCCGCCTGAGCGCGGGCTGCCGACTCCGCCGCGCCGGCCGCCTGCAGGGAGATCTCCTCCGCGGGCCCCCCCTGCCCGATCTTGCCGGCGATCCTGCCGATGATCTCCGCGTGGAGCAGCTGCTTCTGCACCTCCGGTTCAGGCTTCGGGACGAACGGCTCGTCCACGGGGTCGACGGTGGCGCAGCACTGGGAAATGTGGAACCTGGCAACCACCTGCAGCGATGGCGGGGAGCACCGCCCGACCCCCAGCCCTCTCGATGCCCTTAGCGCTGGCGCCGGGAGCGCCAGCGCTAAGGGCACGTCTCCGAGGGCTGGGCGCAGTTCCCCGCCGCCCGCTCGCCTGACGCTCCTCGGTCGGCGACGGCTGGTAGGGCTCCAGCTCGCACCGCGCCACATACTGCGACAGGTACCACCGCTGCCCCCCGTGGACTCTGCCCTGGTGCGCCTTGCACGCCTCCCTGTTGGGGAACTCGGCCTCGCACATGCGGCAGGCATAATGCAGCGCAGGCGCGGGGCACTGGAACCAGTCAGAGCGATCCCGAAGGCGCGCAGGCATGGCGGCGTGCCGGGGAGGGCCGCGGTTGCAGGGTCTGCGCTGCCACGCCTCCGCGAGGTGCGCCCTCAGCGGGTTGCCGTCGCCCAGCGCGGCCGACGCGTCGCTCGCCGCCAGGCGGGCCGCGGCCGCCACGGAGGGGGCGCCGTGGGCGGAGCCCAGGCGCTCGTCCAGGAGCTCCGCGACGTGGTGCACGTGCCACTCCCCGCTCTCCAGTCGGCGCTTGGCGTCGGAAATCTCGTTCTCCGTGACCCCGAGCGCTTCCCGCAGTCTCCCGGCCAACTTGTCGGGTCGATCGGGTGCCTGCAGGAACGTCGCCCATCGGCGGGTGCAGTCGTCGACCGCGTAGACGAAGAAGTCAGGGTAATGCTTCAGCAGGTCATCGGCAGCGACCAGCGGCTCCAGCAAGTGCAGGAGCAGGAAGAGATCCCCACACAACCGGCGCTCCTCGCTGGCGGTCTGCAAGCTCTTCGCCTCCCTGCTGCTGCGGAGGACAGGGGCGGCGGCGTGGTTCTGGGCGTCCTGTCTGGATCCGTCGGCGTTGTCGCCCTTGCTCTTCGGCTTCCGCCCCTGTCGCAGTACCTCCTCCGGCTTGCAACCGCGCTTCTGATCCTCCCTGGCCTGCTGCCTCCCAGCGCGGCTCTGCTGCTGCTGCCTCCCAGCGCGGCTCTGCTGCCTCCCGGCGCGGCTCTGCTGCTGCTGCCTCCCAGCGCGGCTCTGCTGCCTCCCAGCGCGGCTCTGCTGCCGTCCAGCAGCGCTCTGTTTCCCTCGGAGGCGGAGCCGCTTCTTGGCAGGGGCGCCGCTCCTCGTGGACGCCGCGGGCCGCTTCCGCGCGCCCGGCACGCCAGCGTCGCCGGCCCCGTCCTCCTCCTCGTCGCACTCCCCGTCGAGGCCGGGGCTGTCCTCGCCGTCCGCGTCGCCGTCGCCGTCGCCGCCCGCGCCCTCCGCGCCGTCGACGACCGGCCCGGGCGGCCACGGGCACGCCTCGGCGCGGGCCGCCCTGGAGTCCCACCTTCTCAAGGAAGATCATGCAAGGTATCTTGTGCTCGGTGCCAGGCGCCCACTGGACCACGTGCGGCCGATCGCCCAGGTCGTCTGCAGTGTACCAGCTCCCGTCCTCCTCGAAGTGAGCCACGAAGTGGCCCTGGGGGTCACTCAGGAAGTGGGATGGGACGGCTTCCGATCCCTCGGGCAGGATGTACTGCACGTAGGCGCGCAGGCGGTGCGCGACGTCTTCCTCCCCCGCCCTCAGAGCCACCTCCGGGAGGTCACCCCAGTAGGGCGCGATGTCGCAGCCGCCGAGGAAGAGCGCCGTGCCGTCGCCCCGCTCCCACCTCTGGGGCACGTGGACCGCCAGCAACTCGGGCTTCGATCGCAGTCGCCCGCCCATGGAGGCGCCGCGGCGGAGCAGCTCTCGCACGTCCAGTCGCTGCGCGCCCCCGTCGAGGAAGAAGTCCTGCGGCGACAGGGCGTCGTCGCCGTCGTCTGCCCCGTCCACGAATGCCGGGGGCCTCATCATGGCCTCCTCGTCGCATCCGGTCTGGAAGAGGCTGGCGAGACCAGGCGCGTCTTCCAGGATGAACGACAGCGCCTCACTCGCGTCCGCGTACCTCCCCAGCTTGAAGTCCACCCAGTGCTTCGCGAGGAACGCGTCCACGAAGGCGTGCGGGGACCAGCGGTCCACGCGGGCCGGCGCTGGCGCGGCGCCGCCGTCGCCCTCCGCCAGGCTCGGCGGCGCCCCGCGCACGCAGGCGGTCGCCAGGGCGCGCAGCTCCTCGAGAGGGGGTGAGAAACCCAGGCCGACTGCCTCCCATACCCCGCCCTGTCGACGCGCCAATCGTCTCCCCTCCCCTGCGGAGGGAGGAACCCCAAAAATCAACCGGGGGCTGTGCCGGAGTGAAGACATCGACGAGATTTCCCCCACCCCGCGTCCTGCAGAATCAGCGGCTCGCCCTGGCCCTCCGCCCCCAGGAGCGCGGCGCGCGCGGCGGGGCAGTGGAGGAGGCACTGCAAGGGCGCGTTGAGGTAGCAGGTGTTGCACAGGTTCGAGAGGCCGGGGTATGGGCGCTGGCCGCCGCGCGACCGATGCAGGGCGGGATGCCTCCAACGGTCCTCGTCGTGGACGTCGTTCCCCTCGCGCCAGTGCTGGTGCAGCATCCGCAGTGCCTGCTCTGCGCCCTCGGCACGCTCATCCTCCAGCCTCGATTCCCGACCGGCCTGCACCAGCGCGTCGATGCGCTCCTTTAGGACCTGGGCCGCTGGCTGCAGCCTGCTGGCCCCCCTCCACCTCTGCCACCTCCTCGCCAAGTCATCCTCGGGCCCCCTTCCGGGACGCTGGCGCCGTGGCCAGCGGCCGCGCTCACTGTGCCAGGCCAGAACGTCGCGGAACGTCGCGGCCGCGACGTCCCGTCGACCTCCCGCTGTCCGAGGAGTCGGGCCCCGGCGGCGAGCAGTCCCGGCAGTCTGCCGGGGGCGCCTGCCCGCGGCCGAGGCGCCCGGTGTCTGCGGACCTCCCTGCTTCGGGCCCGATGCCGGGGTGCCTCTCGGCGCCGGGGAACCGCGCGGCGACGGCCCTCGTTTCCCTCTCACCCGGCGCCGAGGCGGGCAATCCTGCTGGCGCCGCGGCGTCTGGGGGCCATCGCCTGGGCACTGCGCGTGCTGTGCTCGCAGACGGCGCAGCTCAGCGCGCCGCTCCGTCTCCGGCATCCGCAGGAGGCAGACCATGTCCGCCGTGGCCGCGGCGAAATTCTCGCGCGGCGGGCCTCTGATGGAGGGCTCGCCCGCAGTCCGCAATCTCACTGTAAAGGTCACTGTTCCGCCTCGCTCATTCTTGTCCACATTGATCCGACATCTCGTCCCGCTGCCCTTGGGAGGCATCCGGGGGGATTGACCCGGCGCGGGGCAGGGGGCCACCCGCGCGAGCTGGAGTGTCTCCGACTCGGGGCGATCGCCCCGCGAGAGGGGTCCCGTCCACGAGCGGAGGTCGTCTGTCAATGGGCGCGTCGGGCGCGTGCCACGGAGCGCGGCGGCGCCTGCTGCTCGGGCCATCAGGTCTACGGATATGGAATCGTAGTCGCCAGGATTCCGCGAGGCAAACCCAGATGTCCAACGTCTGAAATAGACTACAGCGGGCGACATTTGAGCGCGCTGGGCCCGTCGACGACGACCGGATGCATCGGGGCTCTGAGCGGGGCGCGCAGGAGTCCCCGCGACGCGCGCTGGTCGCCCGAAGGAGTCTCAGCGACGCGCGCGGATCGTCCGCGGCACTGAACAATTGGAAAGACGCGCGGCCGACACTGAGCGCCGGACACAGTGCACTGGAATGTCTGCGACGCGCGCCGGTCGCTCCAAAGGAGACTCTTGCATGCTTGGGTGTAGCTTGGGAGCCTTAGTTTTTTACGCGCAGCACGTCGGCGCGAGATTATCGACGACGTTCTATGGAAAAGAATAATTTCGCAAGTCGCACGCGCGATATTTTTTTCACGTCGCCATAGGACACCCAAAAAAAGCTTGAGACCCCCGTCGTTTTGGTATCAAAACGACGGGGGTCTCGCAGTCGCGTTCTCGCGGTGAGATCCGAGCGAATCAATAAGACGTTCGCATCAAATTGAAAGCGCGTTGTTTTCCGCACCGCCTGGTTTTGCGCTGGACGGTCGCTAAGAATTCAAGCGCCCTTCAGGACACAGGCGCCTGGGCGTAGCAAAGACGCAGATGGCGACGACGAATCGCGTTGAACAAGATTGGAAATTCGCGATAGTGACGTCCTTCAGGGCACAGACGCCCGGACGCAGCAAACGCCGATGGCGACGACCATTCTCATTGAACGCGAGCCCGTTTTTGAAAATTCGCGATAGTGACGCCCTTCCAAACACAGACGCCCGGGGCGTAGCAAACGCCGACGTCGACAACGATTCGCTTTGAACAACTTCCCGCCGGGCGTCCGCGCGCGCATTTCGCGGAGGACGGGTCGGAAACAGAAAAAAGTCGACACCAGATAAAACAGAAAAAAACACGTAATTTCCCCCTCCCAGATGGCCCATTGCAAGTACCGCTCCCGTGTCCCGTCGCGCGTCCGCGCGCGCATCTCGCGGAGGACGGGGCGGAAACATGAAAAAAACATCGAAACCGGCAAATTCAGAAAAAAACCATAATTTCCCTCCCCCAGACGGCTCATTGCAAGTACCGCTCCCGTGTCCCGTCGCACGTCCACGCGCGCATTTCGCGGAGGACGGGTCGGAAACAGGAAAAAAATCGGAACCAGAAAAAACAAAAAAAGCCCATAATTTCCCCCTCCCAGACGGCCCATTGGAAGTACCGCTCCCGTGTCCGGTCGCGTCCGCGCGCGCATTTCGTGGGCTTGGGAGGATTGGGGAGGATTTGGTTGGATCTGGGAACATTTTGAATGGATTTGAAAAGATTTAGGTGTGTTTGGGAAGATTTGGAAGGATTCGGGTGGATTGGGGGGGATTCGGGTGAATTTGGAAGGATTGGGGTGGGTTTGGGTGGATTTGGGTGGGTTTGGGAGGATTTGGGCGGGTTTGGGAGGATCTGGGTGGATTTGGGAGGATTCGGTTGTGTTCGGGAAGATTTGAAAGGATTCGGGCGGATTTGGAAGAAGTGGGCGGGTTTGGGAGGACTTGGAAGGATTAGGTCGACTCCGGGCAGATGATGTGGGTGGGTTTGGCAGGATTCTGGTGGATTTGGGAGAATTTGGGTGGGTTCGGCAGGATTGGGCGGGTTTGGGAGGATTTGGGCGGGTTTGGAAAGACTTTGGAAGAAGATTCCCCAAAAGCGGCGCGGCCCTAAAGGATTCCCCAGCCCTGGCGCGGCCCTAAGGGATTGGACCACATCCCGATCTAGGCCATTGTGACAAGGAAGAGGCCTGCTGGACCAGATCACGATCTAGTCTAAAGCAGAGGAGGAGTGGTCGGAGGAGGAGGAGGAGAGAGGGGAGGAGGAAGAGGGAGAGCCTGCCTACCGCGGCCGCTTGCGAGCGCGCTCTTGGGGCGCGCTCGGCGTCGTCGCCGCCGACGGCGGCCCGGGCGTCGCCGCTGCCGG